TCCATAATAATAATAATAATAATAATAATAATAATAATAATAATAACCCAGGGCTTTCACTCAAAATTTGAAAGGGCAAGCTGGTTAAAATATCAGCAGTCAAGACTTTGTAAGGCATGTTGTTTTCTTGACAAGAAGGGTATTAATTTGAGCAGGGCATGGTGGCACACACCTGTAATCCCAGCACTTGGGAGGCTGAGGCAGGAGGATTGTTGTGAGTTCGATGTCAACCTGGGCTACAAAGTGAGCTTGAGTCCAGCCTGAACTGCATAGCGAGACTGTGTCTCAAAAAGACCAAAAAAGGGTATTAATCAACTGTATTGGTTACATGAAGAGACCAAACACTTAATAATCTTCCTTTATTAAACCTGAGTGTGGCTAAATACTTTCTACCATCACGCTGACCTGAAACTGGCTTTCCTCTTTTCTTTTCTGGTGCTGGGATTTGATCCCAGCCCCCCCCCCCCAACTAAACATGTGCTCTACTACTTCCCCACACCCTCAGCCCTCTCGCTTTCCACTTACCCAGCTAGAAACTTCAGCAAATAAAGCCTAAATCTTCAAATGAGATGCTTCCTTTTGCCCTCTGGGAAAGAGAATGAGGAGTGGAAAGAAAGGAAGCCAACTTTTATTCATCCCAGTCGCCAAGAGGCTTAGAGCTTTAGGGAAAAATTTCCCTGGAGAAGAGAGAGTGTCATTTACAGTTCTCTAAAAGATTTATAAGGCAATCTGATTTTTAATGTTTCTGCAATTTTAGTGTAGGGGATTTTTTTTTATAGCCCTGCGCTGTTTATTTATTTATTTATTTATTTATTTATTGAGCTGTGTGTTTAAACGTGTGTCCCAACATCAAAGTGGGTCTCTGCACAGCACCCCTTCCTGCTGTTTCCAAAGTTATTTCCTTCTTAATTTTTTGCCAACTTACAAATTCACATAAGAAAGGCCGGGCATGGTGGCACACACTTGTAATCCCAGCACTCGGGAGGCTGAGGCAGGAGGATTGTTGTGAGTTCAAAACTGACCTGGGCTATAAAGTGAGCTCAAGGCCAGGCTGAACTGCATAGTGAGACCCTGTCTCAAAAAGACAGAAAAAGAAAGAAAACCAACAAATTCACATGAGAACAATTTGAAATGCTCCGGACTGGTTGCGAGGGAAGCCAGTCATTCAGGGCCTTCACAGTTATTCGGGAGCAAATGCAGCCTGGTTGGGGCTGGTACCAAGGAATAAACACTGACGAGGGGCACACTGGTGGGGTAGCGTCTGGGCTCCGAAATTTGCTAAGCTGGGCTTTCACGGCCCCTCGTGTAGGCAAACACATCCGATGTGCTGGGGCGCAGGGCTGTGAGGAGCCAGGGAGTCCAGGAAGGCTTGTCAAGGAGAAGAGACGAGAGGCTGGCCTTGGAGGAGGACAAGATGCTCACAAACTGACCTCAAGGGAGAACGTGCTCTTGGGGCTGTCATCCTGCACACGCCACGCTGCTCTCCGCATTGAGAAACGTCTCAGGTGCCTTTCTGACTTAGAATCCATAGGGCGGGAAGTTGGGGGAGAACTTAAAAGAAATCGTTGGGTGATTTTTTTTTAACAGAATATTTTCAGGCTGGTCATTTGGAAATAAAAATTTGTTGTTGGTTCAAGACTACTTCTTTTCCTTAACTGAACTCAATACTTCGTCAAATGCAGATCAGAGTCACAGCAAAATACAAAGCTACTTATGTACCTGCACGTGCCGAGCTTCCCTTGGGAAGGACACAGTCAGAGGTGAACCTTGGCTTATGATTCAGACACAACTCTCTCTGCACAACCCAAATTTATATATAGGGTAGCCAGTCAGACCAAGGGAAGTTGTGGTCCAGGTCAGTCCAGGGCAAATTTGACAGTGATTTCTGCTAGGATGGTAGCAATGAATAAAAGTGTATAGGTTCAAGATCTTCAGGGGCAGCCTGTTTTATTTTATTTTTACAATTTTTTTTTTTTTTTTTTTTTTTGGTAATGGGAATCAAACTCATGACCTCAGGTTTGCCAGGCAAGTGCTTATGCCACTAAACTATACCCTGGCCCTATTTTATTTTTATTGCATTTCATTGTCCTTTTTTCATACATGCATATAACATACTTTGAGCACATCATCCCTCCTAGGAACCTCCCTCCCCTCTCCTCTCTGTCCCCGCTTCCTCTTTGCTATTTTTGTTTGGTTGTGGTTTTTTGTGGTTTTTTTTTTTTTTTGGTACCAGGAATTGAACTCAGGACCTTGCACTTGCCAGGCAGGTGCTGTACCACTGAGCTATATCCAAAGCCCTGTTTGTATGTTGAGACAGTCTCACTATGTAGTCGAGGCTGCCTTCGAACTTGCAGCAATCCTTCTGCCTCAGCCTCCTGAGTGCTGGGATTACAAGCTTGTGCCACCATGCCCAGCCTGATTCCTCTTTTCTAATAGTCTCCCTTTACTTTCATGCCACCCCCGCCCCCGCCAGATTCCATCTATTAGGGAAAACTAAGTCTGGTGTATTTTGCTTAATGTAATGATCTCCACTTCCATCTGTTTTCCTGCAAAGGACATTATTTCATTCTTTTTTATGGCTGAATAATACTCTACTGTGTATGCGTACCACATTTTCTTTATGATTTATTCACTGGCAGATACCTATGCCAATTCTGTAATTGGCTACTGTGAACTGTGTGGGCCATAAACATGGGAATGCTGGCTTTGATTTCTTTGGGTATATGCCAAGGACTAGCACAGCTGAGTCATATGGTAGCCCTATTTTTAGTTCTCGAGGAACTTCCATACAGATTTCCATAGTGGCTTAGACAGCCTATTTTAGACATGACGTATTGTGAAGAGAATTAGTAGGTAACATTTTCTACAAGACTGCTCTGCAGACAGCAAAGGTGTGTACTGTTGTATTATAACTAGAACTATATCAAGACAGTGAAATGGGTCTGGAGATGTCGTTCAGTGGTTCAGTGTTTGCCTGGCTGTGCAAGGCCCTGGATTTGATCACTAGTGCCACACATGCACACACACACACACACACACACACGTAAAAAACAGACACCCCAAGCATCATGCTGGTAAGGGTAAAACTACCAGAACTAACTCCTTGGAACTCTACTTACACGTTTACGCTTTTATTAATTTAAAAATCAATCTGTTACACTCTGTGGTGTGGGCTCCGCACTCGTGCACATGTGTCCTGCTCCGTGGAGCTGGAAGAACACGGACGAGGCAGAAAGCAAATACGTCATGTGGTTATACCTTCACCACTCATGCATGCGACAAATAATTACTGAGTACTTATTACAGAGGAGGACATGGTAGGATTTGGGGATACAGTGAAAAGCAAAACGAGGTGGCGTCTCTCTTTGCGGAGCTTCCTGACAGGAGGGAAGGCAGCGCAGGCGCGGGACAGAACGTACCGCGGGCCCTCGCTCTCCGCCGGAGGCTAAGGGAGGCGCCTCTGGGCGGGACGGCGGCCAGCTGCAGGCGCGCGGTCAGCTGCGCGGACGGACGCAGGAGACAGCGCGCCGAGGAGGGCACACCTGTGGCGGAGGCCCCTCTGTGCTGCGGGCGAGCGGGGCTACAAGCGGACGAACACACCCGACCGGACCCGGACGCGGGAGCGACGCGGCGGGGCAAGCCCAGGAGCACTGACCCCCGAGCTCTGGCAAGAGTGTTTCACAAAGTGAGGACGAGGACGACGGAGTCCGACGCTGCCGAGAGGCTGAGTAACGCGAGAACTGAAAAACGTCCCTGGATTTCACAACAAGGGGGTCACTGAGCGCAGTGGAACGAGCGCAGCGGCCAGGCGGCAGAGGTGGAGAGTGAGTGGCGGGAGGGCACGAGGCGCAAGAGCACCGGTTAGACTGCGCTGGACCCACGGGATGGGAGCCGACGCCCGCGCTTACCTATATAAGGCTACTTTCCACCTACGAATAATGACAGGGCGGCGGTGCTCAAGGGTGCAGCAGTTCCATGATGTCACCAGTGTCCTTGAATCCGTTTGTCATCCTCAGGCACAACCTTTTTTTCCCCAGTGTGAACACAAAATGATTGCTCGCTGAGATAGGAGGAAGAAAGAAATACCAAGGGTGGAAGCCTGGTGGTTATATCATGGATGCAGAGCAGGGCGTGGTGGCACATGTCTCTAATCTCAGCACTCAGGAGGCTGAAGCAAGAGGATTTCAGTTAGTTCGAGGCCAGCCTCAGCTACATAGGGAGTTCAAGCCCAGGTTGAATTACAGAGCAAGACCTTATCTCAAAAAAAAAAAAAAA